GATGATTTTAAAAGGAGGATGACTAAAGAATTCGAAATGACGGATTTAGGCCCCATGTCATATTATCTTGGAATTGAGGTGCAGCAAAGTGATGAAGGGATTTCCATCTCCTAAAAGGCTTATGCTGAGAAAGTGCTAAAAGATTTTCGCATGATGAATTCCAAACCCGTGAGCACACCAATGGAGTGTGGGCTGAAGTTTTCAAAATATGATGAAACTAAAAGGTAGATCCTGGAATATTCAGAAGCTTGGTTGGTTGTCTGAGGTATTTGACATGTACAAGACCAAATATCTTGTACAGTGTTGGCATCATCAGTCGATTCATGGAATCATCAAGTTCAATCCATATGAAAGAAGCTAAGCGAATATTGAGATACATCAGAGGAACCATTGATTATGGTTCATTTTATTCTGTTGTTGAATATTTTGGACTAATTGGATACAGCGATAGTGATGGGGGAGGAAATATCGATGACCGAAAGAGCACCCCTGGCTATGTTTTTAATTTGGAAAATGCTGCATTACTTGGAGTTCAAAGAAGCAAGAAATCGTCGCACTTTCCACCTGTGAGGCTGAATACGTTGCTGCTGCGTCCTGTGTTTGTCATGCAATTTGGTTGCGAAAATTGTTGGAATATCTTGGCTATCCTCGAGATGAAGCTACTTCCATTCATGTTGACAATCGATCGGCAATATCTTTGAGCAAAAATCCTGATATTCATGAAAGGAGTAAGCATATTGACTTGCGATATCATTTCATAAGAGAAAGTGCTGCAAAGAATGAGGTCCAACTCTAGTATGTGAAGACTCATGATCAAGCTGCTGACATCTTCACCAAACCGTTGAAGTTCAGTGATTTCAATTGGGCAAGAGCACTCTTGGGTGTCACAAAGGTTCAATTTAAGGGGTGTTAGTAATATAAACTTAGTTAACTTTGGCATTAAATTATGTATTGAGATATTGTTGTGTCTAGAATTAATTATTGTGTGTTGTCCGTTTAGTTTCTCAGTGTTTGAATTATGTGTTAAGGGACTGTTTGGTTGCTTTGTTTTTGCTATTTATAATGTTTGTGTATTGTGTTATTAAGTGAGAAGGCAAATTTCTGAATTGTCCACTCCGTTGTTCGTTATTGTAAATTTCTCTTCTGCCAAATCCAACATTTTCTAACGGGATGTACTTGGGCATGAACGTGGCTCTGAGTTTATATATAAGTATTTACAAATGTCAGATGCAACTGCTTGTATTTATGGAAGTAAGTGATTCTAACAATGATAGTTTTATTGAAACAAATACCATGAAATTACAACATAGGCAGAAAATGTCACTGTCTTGTGTGAAACCTTCTACATATTTCTGCATGCAGAAAAATATTAACAACCATTAAATATAATTTTTTTTACAAAAATAAATCTATTAAATATATCACTATAATGCAAAAAGAAGTTAAAGAATATACCCTCCTATTGACAATATACCACACATGTGTGGCGTTACGAACTACAACTTCTGTAGCAGACAATGACTTGTGCATCCTCGAGTTTCTACAAAGGGAATTGGCAAGAAACAATATTAGAGTACAAACATCTATCAGAAAAGGACTCGATTTTATGTATACAATGCATAATATATAATACAAACATGATGAAAAACTTCAGAGTATATATTTTGAAAGTGTTTTCAAAATAATAAAAAGTTGGATAAGAAATGGGTATTTTATATGATATAAATATATATGGGATGTGATAGACGATTCAAAGTAAGATAAATGTTTAAGTCAACGCTTTGTCTTTTCTTTTCTTTTTTAAAAGAATATGTAGTAATATATGATTTTTTAATTTCAGAGATAAAACTTTGATGAATGGGAGTGAACACAAAGTTGAAATATCAATAAACAAAGTCTATACTTTCTCGTCATCTTCCCTTGTCTTGGTTGAGATGGGAAGCGTGGTATTGACGCAATCTCAATACCATTTTGGTGACGGCGAGAGGATTCTGACGAAGAAGAGGACCTAAATAAGACACAACAAAGGGTAAAATAAATGAGTGTTTGGAGAACTCCTTGGCTAGATTTAACCATTGTTTGGTGAATTTTAACCTGAACACTCTTTTGCTATCATTGTACTTGTCTTGTAGCGTATTCACGTCTGCATTCATTGTCATATCACTCTGTCGCTCCAGATAGATTTGTAGTTTCTTCTCTCTCTCTCTATATATATTATTTCCCCCAAAAAATATATATATATAAAAAAATTATAGTAGAATTTAAAAAATCGGAAGATCTCTGGATACATTCCAAATTGAATGTACCGGAGAAACTTGGGTTTTTAGGCTTTTAGTAGAATAGCAATATTTTTCATAATCAAAATAGGAATCTACATATAGACACTACCTCATAACAACCTAACCTATAGATAAAACCAAATCTAAAACTCAATAAGTAAAATATCTCAACAACTTTGTGTTTGTGATTTGTGTTTCTCGTAAATTAGTTATTAGATATGAAGTTTAATTTGAATGAAAATTTAATAAGCATTTATTCAAAATCAAGGGGTTGCATAGTAACGAAAATATTGAAAAAAAAAAAATTCAAAGTAAACAACAACATTGTATGTAGTATTTATTATATATAAATATAAGTATGCTTTTCTGCAAACTACAAAAATAATGTGCGTATAAGAAGTTCTTACACTATATCATTCAAAATCAAATAATTTTTATAAATGAACACAAATCACATTGTGCGTAAAGTAAAGTGTGCAGATTCTAGGATAACTTCATGATGGGAACCCTAGGAACTGCTCATGGTTAAGGACAAAGCTTAAAATGACTTCTGTTGACATGTGGCGTCAGTCTATATATTAAAGTTTTATTATTATAAAATATTCTACTATTTTGATGTTTTCATAGCAACCTTCATTAACATACATAATAATTTTGATTTTTGATAGTTCTGATTTGCTTAAAAAATAAAAAATATTTCTATTAATTATATTTAGTATTTTTGCAAAAATGAAATTGAACTGTGAATAAATATTATCAGTGTACGTTACTACATTTATGTCAAAGCTACTTCTAACATCTGAAAAGTGCTGAAATTTTAACTAACACCCATAAAACCCGAATCGCACTATCAAAGCATTGTGGAGCCCACATATTTCGTGATTTTATTCAAAGTTAAAATTGTTCAAAAATTAATATACAGTCATATTATGCAAAAAAAAATTCTATATTCTAGTCATAGTTTTAAATTTTAAAATTAATAAGAATATAACCATAACTCTTTGCATATGAGAAGAATTCACAAGCTTAATTAAGAAAATTCATCATTTCAGTAATTAATCAAAGTAAATTGATTGTGACCTATTTGTTTTTTACATTATGTATATACATTCATAATCTTATTTATATTAACAAATGCATACATGTATCACATATGGATATTCAATAAATAAAAAAAAAAATTAAATACACTACATTACTTTCTATCTTAGATATATATAATGGTTCTGGTTGCATATTTCAAGAAGGTCCTGAATTTTTCATTGTCCTGGAAAGATTAATGGACGAAATTGTGTACATGGGTAGATATGTAATTTGTTTTATATAATAATTTGGACAATGATTCGATTGTGCATAATTTCAGGGATTGTATATATAGATATAGAATTTAAGTAGCACGTTCATATTCTTGGATCATAATTTTATGTCAAATTTATATTACATCATACCTTAACTATTGGAACAACATTTTCCATATATGCAAATAACATTTTTATATTAGTCACTCAACACATTAACAGTCGTTAAAGAGAAATATTGAAACATCACCAGAACCATTTTAACTTGTGGAAATCCATAATATTGAATAACTATGCAAACATTCTAAACAAAAAAACAAAAAAAAAATTGTCTTGGGACAACTTTAAATTTTTTTATTATAGAAAACATTACGTAAATATTCTCTTAAAAAATAAATTTGTAAGAAATTTTAATTGCTAATACATATTTACGAAATTCTTATCACTCCGGACGGGGATTCTGATAGCTTTGTTAATATCTAAATCCCGAAAAACAATGAAAACAATTATACTAATACAATTATATAAACTATTGTCCAAATTTGACTAAAGATGTCATAATCCAGTATCAAATAAATCGTAGAAGGTGTTGTCGGTGTCAAATCAACTGCCCATAAGTAACTTAGGCCATTGAGTGATTTCCAGTTCCGCTATGTCTGGTATTGGCGAAGACGTTGGAACATCCGAAATTGCAATATCTCCAATGTCTCTATTGCTTGCTATTGGGTTGGAGTAATGGATAATTCATTTTGTTCATTTCCGTTGATATCACCCATTAATTTTGTTGGAAGGGACGCATTTGTGTTTCTAGCTAATGCTGCGTCGAAGAAGAAGGAGAGTGAGGTTTGAAGTAGTTATGTAAATTAGGAAAATTAAAAAATTACTATTAAACTTCTAATTTAATACAAACAATTGATGAGGAGATAATTCGGGGGAGTAGGTTATGAATAAAATTGATAAAGGAGGATCGGGAATGGAATATATGATATTAATATATATATATATGTATTAAGATAGAGGAGAAAGGGGGAATTGATATAAGATTTGAGCTATAGGCTGGAATAAAATAGTAATTTTCAGATTCCTTAAAAAATTAATTTACCTTTAACATCTGCCCTTACAACCGAAACTTGAAGTAAAAAGCAAGCCACATTAGCCTAAGTGATGTACACTTGACGAGAAAATGTCAAATTCAGAAGTATCAATATAATATTACTCTAACAGACCTAGGAATTCTTGGTTCCAACTATTAGACATTGTATGGGAGGAGCTTTCAGATTGTTCTTTGCGGTAAGAGTAGGATAATTCCGGCCCATTTTTCAATTTATAACGGCCAGAGCTTGTTTCCAGATGATCTTCAGTCGGGACAACCGCAGGAGCTGGTGATTGCTCTAGCGATTCATTAATTTTGGGTTCTTTCCCCTTACTGATCTGCTTTCCTGCACAGCTTGCTGCAACTGAAATTCGACTTCTTGAGCCTTCTCCTTCTCCTTATCATTATCCTTGTCCAATATTTCATCTTTACCCTCAACATTTTTAAGTTTTCCAAACTCTTCATTGGCAAGATTTGGATGGCAAGCCCCTAAATACCATCATTCGATCGTTATTCATAGCATTGTACAAGTTTACAAAATAAAATAAAATGCAATATCAACCACATATTCCAAACCCTAAACCTTGAACTCTGAACTAAACCTGTTTATGGTAGACAGTGTCTGGCCCATTGAACAACATTGCATTGGAACAGAGTAATTGAACATCAGCCTGAGATCTCAAAGAAATGGAAATACCAGTAATTTTATTATCAGTTACAGTCACGGCTGCAAAGTGATTATAATAAGCTATGGAATCAATTAACCTGCAAATCTTCCAAGGACTTGTAACAGTTTTTCCGAAGCTTCTTTCGAATAGTTGGAAAATCCATAGGCTGCTTTACCACATCATAATAATCAGGCACCTGCAATATGAAATCATCATCAGCATAAAAAAACCATAGAATGTCAACCTAGAGTATGTGCAGAAGACCCACTTCAAAGATGTCCACCGGATTAGAAAACGCCCCATAAACATCCAACCTGCAACAGAAATATATATATATACTGTTCATTAATATGCTATGATTATCTAATTTATGGTTTTCATTATATTTTTTAGACTCTTGATTTCTAATAGATGCAATTAATTTATATTGGATGTGATAGAGGTTTCAATGGAAGATAAATGTTTAAGTCAACATTTTATTTTTTCCTTTTTTTTTTTTTTAAAGAATAGGTAAATATATATGATTTTTTTAATATTAGAGATAAAACTTTAATGAATGGAACTGAAAACAAAGTTGAAAATATAAATAAACAAAGTCTATACTTTCTCGTCAGCTTTCCTTGTTTGGATTGAGATGAGCAGCGTTGTATTGCCGCAATCTCAGTACCACTTTGGTCATGGCCAGAGAATTCTAACGAAGATGAGGACCTTAATAAGACAACAAAGGGAAAAATAAATGAGTGAATGGCATCAGAATATAATATAATTTTCTTTGAAATTTTGGAGAACTCCTTGGCTAGAAGTAAGCATTGTTTCATAAATTTTAACTTGGCCACTCTTTTTCTATCATTGTACTTGTCTTGTAGCATTTTTGTGTCTGCATTCATTGTCATATCACTCTATAGGAACAAAAAAAAACACCATAACAAACCAAATCACTTATAAACAAACGGATGGATGGATGAACTACCTGCTTGGCATACTTCTTTAACCGTTGTTGTTCTTGTGCATTTCAGTGTAATTCCGAGTGTGGATTCCCCTTTCAAGCGAACCACAACAACGTCGATCAATTTCAATACCCTGGAAGATGATTCTTTGATATAAACTATAAAAAATAATAATAATTAAGCAAGTAGAAAGATGTACTCTGGAAGTGTCTGCAGATGTAGATTTACTCCCAAACCCAATTTTTGTCCACTCAGATAAATGAAAAAATATTCTTGCCACCATCCACAATTCGGTCGCAATCCCAGTCAAATCCTGGTGAATCGAATATGCGATCTCCCTCTATCATCAATCGGTCCCATTCAATATAAATCAAGTTAATCAACCGAAGATGAAAAAGGCAAAATATAAATCAACTTCGAAAGCAATGCAGGTAAGGTAGGAAAAGGGAAGGAGGGGAAAGAATGAAAAACGCTACTTGTACAGGCTTTTTACAATACCAGATAAATCCTTCTAGAATGTAATATATATATCATTTTCATATTTTTTTTTATACCATCCAGTATGGTTTCATTTTTTTTAGATAATGTATTACAATTTACTGTATATATTAATATATAAATATACTCTTTCTTTTATGAAATTTTTACTAAGTTTATTTTATTTATATTTTTTTATTTTTTAGCTATTTCTATTTTATATTTATTTATTTTTTTATAATCACTAGAATTTACCTATCATTCCTACTTTTATACACAAATAGTTTAACTTATTGTTTTTACATTATTAAAAATTATATATAATATGTGCATATATGTATATATATCAAATTGTATATATTTTTAATGAAATTTTTATATCAAAGTATATTTGGACAAAATTAGAAAGATAAAGAGGGAAAATGATTGTTGAATATGAAATATTATAGTTTTGAATGATAAAAGAAATATATATATATATATATTTAAATCTTACCATAATACCATATTTACATTACAACAATAATTTATCAATTTACATATTTTAAATACTAATAATTTTCCTCTAAAATAATTATAATATATAATACTCACTATATTTTAAAACCAATTTCCTGTAATTATTAGATATTGCCTATAATTAATTTCATTCTATATAGTTATAAACTGTATTTTTAAAATTTAAGATTACGTTTTTAAAACACTTGTAGTATATAAATAATATAAATATAATGTTTCATCCAATCAAATAGTATTCGAATGAAATATGTTGCCTCCCTAATGTATCTGATCGCTCTAAGTAAAAAAGTCAAAATCAACCCGCTGACCAAAATAAGGCAAGCAAATCAAAGAAAGATAAGATAACTAAATAATCATGTTTAGAACACTACAAAAAGAAAATGGGTTTTGCCACGGATTCAGCTACAGAAAAAATATATTTGGGAAATTTTTTCTTTTAGTTACAAATTTTACATGACAAATAGTTTTTCATCCCGTCAACATTTTTATTTTATTTTTTCTTATCGTAATTTCTTTGTAATTATTACAACTACTAAAATATATTGTCCTAACTACAATGGTTAATTATATCCTTCTCCTTCTCCTTTACTTTGTCTTTGCCCTCATGATCTTTAAATCTTTCAAACTGTTCCGCGGCTAGCTTTTTTATGGCAAGGGCCTACATACATTCATTCCATTATTATTCACGGCATTCCACAAAAGTAACAAAGGAAATGGAAATGCAGTATCAACCACATATTACAAACCCTAAATACTAATCCATAGGAGAGTCTACAAACCTGCTTATGGTAGACAGTATAAGCTTTGTTGTACAATATTGCATTGCAACATAGCAACTGATTGTCAGCCTGAAAACAAAAAAAAAAAAAAAAAAAAAAAAAAAAAAAAAAAAGGAAAAATGAAAATAATAATAGTACAATTATTAGTTATAATAGCAGCTCCACAGTTATTAATTAATCTACGGAACCAATTAATAACCTCCAAGTCCTCCAAACACTTGTAACAGTTTTCCTTAGCTTCTTCCGAATAGTTGCAAAGTCTATCGGCTGCTTTACCACATCGTAATAATCAGGAAGCTGCAATAAAACGTCATCGTCAGAATCAAACTACCATTTAATGGTATATATATTCAAGCATATAATGTCAGCCCAGGGCATGTGCAAAGAACCAACTTCTAAGACGTCCACGGGATTAGAAAATACCCTGTAAGCATCCTTCCTGCAACAAATGAAAAATTATTTATATATATACATGCCTCGTCACTACAAAAAAATAGTATATTTGTAACGGAATTCCGTTCCTAAAGTTCACGTAGCTAACGTAATTCCATCTCTAATTCCGTCTCTAATATCATTAGTAACGGAAAAAGTGAATTTAGGGACGAAAAAATCTCCTTACAAAATTGATAATTTCTTGTAGTGCGTCCAATAAAAACACAGAGAAACAGAATGTACAACTATCTGAAAAACAATACTCTTGCAGCTTGATAAAAATAGCAGCTAACAACTTCTTATCGGGCAAAGGTGTCGATGTCGCACAACACTCTGATTCAGTTCTTGATGTTCCGGCCCCTTAATATATATATATATATATATGTATATTGATCAAATTAGTGCTATTGAATCCCACCACCAAATCACATATATAATATAAATAAATACATAATAGATATAGAACTCTGTAGATCCAAAGTATGATCTTGATTACCACTATCTTGTTTTGTTGTCTCTTCTATGACAAGCACTTTTTTTTGCTTCTTCTCTTTCTTCTTCTGTGCACAGAAAATGTTGATAGTATATTCATCTTGTTAAATGATCAGGAATTACCGTTTCACCAATTAGCTTAAATTGTTAAGGATATGTATCATTTATTTATTTATATACAAACGGAAGTCCACCAATGCGTCCGTCACGTGCAAGGGTGAAAGGCCTCTCCACTTAAAACAAATTGGTACTAGGTTCGAAACTTGATCCCTTCTTAACACATCTCGAACAAAGCAATCAATAAATCAATAAATATATGTCCGTACATAAACACACATATGTTGATGAAAGGTCGAATAATCTGATGGCTACACATTTAAACACCCAAGAAATAAAAAACAAATAAATTACAAATAGTTTAATAAAAAGAAAGAAAACATGTATTTTGCTACAATTGAATCTTTTAATAAGAAAAGGGGAAAGAGGAAAAAGGAAGAAGAAACAGAAGAAGCTATTATTGCAACAAGAAGAAAACAAATAAAATTTCTCTTAATATATGTAAGAAGTACTTTGATTTCACAAAATAACTACTCAAGGCAAAAATAGATTCTTCTTTCCTAATCTCACATTATGCAACAAGTTGTCACTAAAAAAAAATAAAAATAACATATATCATATCACTTTGTTAAAATATTATTAAACAATTCTTATATATATTTCGTGACCTTATATAGGAATCTCTCAAATATCCTCTCAAAAATGAAAATTTCAGATTAGTAATGAAATTGGATTCGAATTGACAAAAAGGGTAGTTTGAAAAAATAATACCTGAGTCACAGCATCATCATCAGATCCACAATCTACCGCGATAGTTGTGCTTGTTTTTCTCTTGCCACAGGCCTTTTCGCTATTCGAATCTATGCCACACTGCTGATTACTGAACTTTTCTTGTGTTTCCCTAATCTCAACCTGAGGTAGAACTAATTTGTCAAGGTGCTTCATCTTTTTAGGTTTGCGTCGTGAATTCTGCCTCGTATATTTGACCGGAAAATTTTCATTGCGCTTGGACTCAGTGGTGGCTGAGAGCGACACCTGTTTCCGCCCAACCATTTCTACCAGTTTTGTTGTTTTTACTGTCGTTATTCTTTTTTTTTTTCCAAAACCAAATTTCTTCTTCTTGGAGGTATGGGATTCCGACTGTACCCCTCTTGTTTTATATGAGATCAGAGAGACTGTAGCAAAACCTGTCATGTGTGAAAGCATCATCTTTATCGAAGAATCTAATTCCATATGTCATAAATTTATTTCAATAATATCTATTACTATTATTTATAATTGACAAGCAATTGTGATGATTTTTTTTATATATATCCAGTATGTCAAATTACTATAATTGGTTGAGATTTTAACCAGGAAAATTATAAAAAAAATCATCCACGTATACTCATTGATCACTTTATGCTTTGTTTATTTCATTGACAAAATAAAATATTATATTATAGGTAATAATATATGATATTTTAATATTATAGATAAAACTTTGATGAATGGGAGTGGAAACAAAGTTGAAAATATAAATAAAAAGGATTCCGACGAAGATGAGGACCTAAATAAGACACAACAAAGCGTAATATATACGAGTGAATGGCATGAGAATATAATCTAATTTTCTTTGTAATTTTGAAGAACTCTTTGGCCAGAAGTAAGCATTGTTTCATGAATTTTAACCTGGTCATTCTTTTGCTATCATTGTTCTTGTCTTGTAGCATTTTTGCCGTTGCATTCATTGTTATATCATTTTGTGGGAGCAAAAAAAACACCCTAAAAGACCATATTAATTATAAACGTACGGATGGATGGATAAAGTACCTACCTGGCATACATCTTTAACCGTTGTTGTTCTTGTGCATTTCAGTGTAATTCCGAGTATGGATTGCCCTTTCAAGGGAACCAATTGTGGTTTAACATGCACGCCAATATAATCAAAATACAAAGGAAATAGATGATTATTTTATAGAAATTACAAAAAATCATAATAATTAAGTAAAATAGAAAGATATGTACCCTAGAGGCGTCTGCAGATGTAGATTTACTCTCAAACCCAATTTTTGTCCACTCAGATAAACGTAAAAATATTCTCCCCACCATCCACAATTCGATTCGCAATCACAGCCAAATCCTGCCACTGTGTAAATCAATTGAATCGAAAATGTTGTCTCCCTCTATCATCTGTCGGTCCCATTCAATATAAATCAAGTTAATCAACCAAATATGAGAAAGCAATGCAGGCAGCCGTCGGAAAGGGAAGGAGCGAAGAGAATGAAAAACCCTAGTTGCACAAGCCTTTTAAAATACCAGATAGATCTTTCTAGAATGTAATATATATAATTTTATATATTTCTTTTATACCATCCAGTATCCTTTAATTGTTTAGATAATGTCTTATAATCTATTGTATATATGAATATATGAATATATTTGTTATCAATTTTTTACTAAGTTTTTTTTTTATTTATATATTTTTATTTTTTAACTATTTCTATTTTATATTAATCTATTTTTTAATAATTACTAGAATTTAACTATTATTCGTACTTTTATACATAAATAGTTTAACTTATTGTTTTGAGCATTATAAAAATTATATATAATATGTGTATATATATATATCAACTTGTATATATTTTTAATGAAATTTTTATATCAAAGTATATTTGGACAAAATTAGAAAGATAAAGAAGGAAAATAGATTGTTGAATATGAAATATTATAATTTTGAATGATAAAATAAAAATATATATATTTAAATCTTATGTTAATACCATATTTATATTACAACAATAATTTATCAATTTACATATTTAAAATATTAATAATTTTGCTCTAAAATAATTATAATATATAATACTCACTATATTTTAAAATTAATTTCCTATAATTATCAGATATTGCCTATAATTAATTTCATTCTATATAGTTATAAATATAAATATAATATTCAGTCAACTAAAGAAGTCAAAATTAACACGCCAACCAAAATAACCCAAGCAAATCAAAGAAAGATAATATAACTAAATAATCATGTTTAGAACACTACAAAAAAGAGTGGGTTTTGCCACGGATTCAGCTACCGCAAAAATATATCGGTTGTTTCAGTTACATTTTATACATGACAAATAGTTTTTCATCCGGTCAACATTTTTATTTTATTTTTTTTATCGTAATTTCTTTGTAATTATTACAAGTACAAAAATATATCGTCCTAAACTACACTGGTTAAATATATCCTTCTCCTATACTTTGTCTTTAACCTCATGATCTTTAAATCTTCCAAACTCTTCCGCGGCTAACTTTCGTATGGCAAGGGCCTACATGGCAAGGGCCTACAGACATTCACTCCATTATTATTCATAGCATTCCACAAAAGTAACAAAATAAATGGAAATGCGGTATTAACCACATATTACAAACCCTAAATACTAATCCATAGGAGAGTCTGCAAACCTGCTTATGGTAGACAATATAAGCTTTACTGTACAACATTGCATTGCAACATAGCAACTGAACGTCAGCCTGAAAATACACACACAAAAAAAAAAAAAAAGGAAAATGAAAATAATAATATTTCCATGATTACTTATAATAGCAGCTCCACAGTTATTAATTAATCTACGGAACAAATTAACCTCCAAGTCCTCTGAACACTTGTAACAGTTTTCCTAAGCTTCTTCCGAATAGTTGCAAAGTCTATCGGCTGCTTTACCACATCGTAATAATCAGGAAGCTGCAATAAAACGCCACCGTCAGCATCAAACTACCATGTAATGGTATATATATTCAAGCATATAATGTCAGCCCAGAGCATGTGCAAAGAACCAACTTCTAAGACGTCTACGGGATTAGAGAATACCCTGTAAGCATCCTTCCTGCAACAAATGAAAAATTATTTATATATACGTGCCTCGTCCAATAAAAATACAGAGAAACAGACCGTACAAAAACACATACTCTTGCAGCTTGATAAAAGTAGCAGCTAACAACTTCTTATCGGGCAAAGGTGTCCATGTCGCACGACACTGATTCAGTTCTTGATGTTCCTGCCCCTTAATATATATATATATATGTATGTATATTGATCAAATTACTGCTATTGAATCCCAGCACCAAATCACATATATAATATAAATAAATACATAATAGATATAGAACTCTGTAGATCCAAAATATGATCTTGATTACCACTGTCTTGTTCTGTTGTCTCTTCTAGGACTAGCACTTCTTTTTGCTTCTTCCCATTCTTCTTGTTAAATGATCGGGAATGGCCGTTTCACCTAATAGCTTAAGTTGTTAGAGATACACATTATTTATTTATTTATCTACAAACGGAAGTCCACCAACGCGCCCATCACATGCAAGGGTGAAAGGCCCCTCCACTTAAAACAAATTGGTATTAGGTTGGAAACTTTGATCCCTTCTTAACACATCTCGAACAAAGCAATCAATAAATTAATTAATGTATGTTTGTATATATACACACATATCTTGATGAAAGGTCGAATAATCTGATGGCTACACATTTAAACACCCAAGAAATTAAATACAAATAAATTACAAATAGTTTAATAACAAGAAAGAAAACATGTATTTTGCTACAATTGAATATTTTAATAAGAAAAGAGGAAAGAGAAAGAAGAAAGAAAAGCTATTATTGCAACAAGAAAACAAATAAAATTTCTCTTAATATATGTAAGTACTTTTATTTCACAAAAGAACTTCTGAAGGGAAAAATAAATTTTTCTTCCCTAATCTCACATCATGCAACAAGTTGTCACTAAAAAATAAAAGTAACATATATCAATATCACTTTATTAAAATATTATTAAACAATTCATATATATATATATTCATGACCGTATCTAGGAGTCTCTCAAAAATGAAAATTTAAGATTAGTAATGAAATTTGATTCTAATTAACAAAAAGGGTAGTTTAAAAAAAAAGAATACCTGAGTCACGGCATCATCATCTTATCCACAATCTACCGTGATAGTTGTGCTTGTTTTTCTCTTGCCACAGCCTTTTCGCCATTCGAATCTATGCCACACTACTTTTCTTGTGTTTCCCTAATCTCAACCTGAGGTAGAACTAATTCGTCAAGGTCGCTTGGACTCAGTGGTGGCTGAGAGCGACACCTGTTTCCGCCCAGCCATTTCTACCAGTTTTGTTGTTTTTACTGTCGTTCTTCTTTTTTTCGCGTCTGCATTTATTTTCATATCATTCTGTAGGAACAAAAAACACCCTAACAAACCATATCAATTATAAAGCGAACCGATCACAATTTCCCTTTCAAGCGAACCGATCACAATTCTGAGTATGGATTGCCCTTTCAAGCGAACCGATCACAATTTCGATACCCTAACGGAAAGATATGTACCTGGGAAGCGTCTTCAGATGTAGATTTACACCCAACTCCAATTTTTGTCCACTCAGATAAATGAACAATTATTCTCGCAACCATCCACAATTCGGTCTGATAATCTACTTGCAGTCTCACCCAAATCAGTGTAAATCAACTTAATCGAATAGGTCTCCCTCTATTATCTATCGGTCCCATTCACTATAAATCAAGTTGATCAACCAAATATAAGAAACGCAAAATATAAATCAACTTTGAAAGCAATGCAGGCGGCTGTAGGAAAGGGAAGGAGGGAAGAGAGTGAGAAACCCTACTTGTACAAGCTTTTTACAATACCAGATAGATCCTTCTAGAATCTAATATATAATTTTTATATATATTTTCAATTGAATAACTACATTATTTAAAATCAATGATCGAATATTTAATCCGGTTTTATTGTTCACTCAGTGGGCTAGAAGTTTAATTTTTTGAAATCTAGATTCCCCTAATATTTGAAATTGTGACAAAACAGAAATTAAACTTCACATTCCGGATCGACCTCGGCACCACTTGCTATGCGGAAATTGTGATGTTAGAGTATTTTTATTGGAAGCACCGAGGCTACCATTTTGACATGAGTAGTTTGTCCAATCTATTTAACCTCTATTTAACCTGGGGGTATCATATCCTCGTATCATTATTGTAATACCCCATAGTTGAATAGTGATATGAGTAGTCAGAAAAGATGT